TGAACTACGTGCAAAAGAAGCTTGATCATTTTCTTTGAAATAATAATCTCGGGACAAATTGTTATATTTAGATTAATCGAAGTAATTGGTTGGATCGCATACAGGCGAAACTGCAGTTGCTTTGTTAATGTTAAAAATGATTACTTTTCATAATGTTCCTCTGCTCGGAGAATATTGGGAATCCATTAATTAATCTACACAGCCGTTCCTTGCAGCTTAGTTGTTACCATAAAAAAAGCATCAAAGCTTCCTATATATCGCTGATCTTTCAATTTATGATCACCTTTGCTTCACAATGTGCTGAATAGAATAAAATTCCCGATGCTGATAATACACGCGTTCTTATCAAAACGTTGGAACTTCTGTTTCAGTATCGAACCGTTTTATCGTCAGACCTGCATACACGCACTCGACGACGTTCTCTGTCTGTTTCCAATTGTTTTACGAAATTAAAGGATCGGGGAGGATCAGTGCCAAACAATGCGCCACGCTAAATGCGAAACCGAAACGCGTAACTGGCATTGCTTCGATGGATTCGAAATTTATGATTTCGATCATTTTAAAGGAAATTGATTGCTACGAATGTTGCATAGTTCGAAGAAGTATTTATAATTTTAACAATACGAATCGTTCGTACGCTCGTATTGATTGTTTGCGTCTCGAATCGACGAGACGTTGATTGAAAATATTTTAAATATAGAAAATGAGTCGGGCGAAAAATATAATAGAATGTGATTATATTTGTTGAATATTCAGCGACTTGGAAATAGTACGTTTATTATTGTTGAGCTAGAATTGTAAAAAATGTAAATAAATCTGGTGAAGTAATTTCGATCGCAAACACGCAAAATAATATAATTTGTCTGCCTACGGTGCAGACATACATTGCTCCACATTTGAACTTTGCAATGTTCTGTTATAAACGAAACGGTTTCAATTAGATGCTAAACCGCACAGATCGATTATAGCAAATAGCTTTTGCAAATGCGATTTGTTTTCCATAAGTATTCGAAATTGCGAAGAAACTTTACGTGCAATACTTGAACCGCGTACAACATCCGAAGAAGAATTTGCTCGAATCATATGTTAATTTTATTATTTGTACATTAATGCTAGATATTTCGAGCTTTCTATAATTAATTTCATATTATTCAAGCTCTCCGAAATTTGGTATTTCTGGACTCTCTTTTTTAATTCACACAAACAAATAGTTAACGCGAAAGGAAATCCTCGTTACCACTCGAAAGTTTAGGCTCACTTATTCTATTCATAGTAAACATTAATTATCTCATGGATCGTGCGATATCGTAATGAAAATATGAAAAAACGAGCATTACGTTTGGTATTATTAGATCAAAATATATGAAATGTGTCATTTCTTTGTCGATAACAAATATGTTCGTACTAAATGTCTTTGCAACTTTATTGCGGTCAAAGTGTGCACCGTCTTTCTCCATTTCAACAAATTATTTTGTAAAATGACATCTTTTTCATTTATCTGAGAACATTGATTATCGCGAGAATTTCGTTAACATTACCAATTGTTTCAACTCTTACAAGAGAAGAATTAAAACGAAGAAATGTGGACTGACGTCCAATTTTATGTGAAATAGACTGCAGAATAACAATATATTTATTAATGTATTGTATATAAAGAGAATATCGAACTGACATTTCATATGATGTAATCTAATAACACAAACTTTAATAAAAATAGAATATCATTGCTTGCAATCTAATTTTAGTGAGAGTTATCTTACACAATGAAATAACTCAAAGATCTGAGTACTTGAAATAGAAAGCAATTTTTTTAGAAATAATAGGTGAAGCAATCTTACTCGACAATGAAAAATAAAACCCCATGAAATGAAAATCAAGAAATCTTAAGGAAAATAATAAGAAAATATCTAGAATNTGTCTGTTTCCAATTGTTTTACGAAATTAAAGGATCGGGGAGGATCAGTGCCAAACAATGCGCCACGCTAAATGCGAAACCGAAACGCGTAACTGGCATTGCTTCGATGGATTCGAAATTTATGATTTCGATCATTTTAAAGGAAATTGATTGCTACGAATGTTGCATAGTTCGAAGAAGTATTTATAATTTTAACAATACGAATCGTTCGTACGCTCGTATTGATTGTTTGCGTCTCGAATCGACGAGACGTTGATTGAAAATATTTTAAATATAGAAAATGAGTCGGGCGAAAAATATAATAGAATGTGATTATATTTGTTGAATATTCAGCGACTTGGAAATAGTACGTTTATTATTGTTGAGCTAGAATTGTAAAAAATGTAAATAAATCTGGTGAAGTAATTTCGATCGCAAACACGCAAAATAATATAATTTGTCTGCCTACGGTGCAGACATACATTGCTCCACATTTGAACTTTGCAATGTTCTGTTATAAACGAAACGGTTTCAATTAGATGCTAAACCGCACAGATCGATTATAGCAAATAGCTTTTGCAAATGCGATTTGTTTTCCATAAGTATTCGAAATTGCGAAGAAACTTTACGTGCAATACTTGAACCGCGTACAACATCCGAAGAAGAATTTGCTCGAATCATATGTTAATTTTATTATTTGTACATTAATGCTAGATATTTCGAGCTTTCTATAATTAATTTCATATTATTCAAGCTCTCCGAAATTTGGTATTTCTGGACTCTCTTTTTTAATTCACACAAACAAATAGTTAACGCGAAAGGAAATCCTCGTTACCACTCGAAAGTTTAGGCTCACTTATTCTATTCATAGTAAACATTAATTATCTCATGGATCGTGCGATATCGTAATGAAAATATGAAAAAACGAGCATTACGTTTGGTATTATTAGATCAAAATATATGAAATGTGTCATTTCTTTGTCGATAACAAATATGTTCGTACTAAATGTCTTTGCAACTTTATTGCGGTCAAAGTGTGCACCGTCTTTCTCCATTTCAACAAATTATTTTGTAAAATGACATCTTTTTCATTTATCTGAGAACATTGATTATCGCGAGAATTTCGTTAACATTACCAATTGTTTCAACTCTTACAAGAGAAGAATTAAAACGAAGAAATGTGGACTGACGTCCAATTTTATGTGAAATAGACTGCAGAATAACAATATATTTATTAATGTATTGTATATAAAGAGAATATCGAACTGACATTTCATATGATGTAATCTAATAACACAAACTTTAATAAAAATAGAATATCATTGCTTGCAATCTAATTTTAGTGAGAGTTATCTTACACAATGAAATAACTCAAAGATCTGAGTACTTGAAATAGAAAGCAATTTTTTTAGAAATAATAGGTGAAGCAATCTTACTCGACAATGAAAAATAAAACCCCATGAAATGAAAATCAAGAAATCTTAAGGAAAATAATAAGAAAATATCTAGAAT